TCTTCCGATCTCCCCAAAACCCCAAAACCCCATAGAGCTTAAGATAATGTGCGTTGAGTAGATATATTGAAATAAATGTAAGGATGGAAATGAATGCTTGATTTTAATAATCATCGACAATATTATGATAGTTCTAATAATCTCTATTATTATAAAATAGTAAACTAGTTAAAAATAGTGGTTCCCTCGTACAGCAAGGAATATTTCGAGGATAATTCTTTAGAACTCTTTGCAGGATTTACGGTAAAGCTATATCCTTACGCGATGATCTTTCTCATTTTATATGAGGGGAATTTGACAATAAAATGTAGGTAATATAAGTTTTAATTTTTAAAGGTATTATAGTGAGTTAGAAATTAAGAATTTATGTCATGCGAGAAAGACCATCATGGCCAAAAGTGATACCATAGAGAATGCAGAGAGATAAAGAGAGTTTGCCCCGAATTTTCCTTCGTATGGGCACTGTCTAGAATTGCTTGAGCATGAAGCGATAATTTTCTTATCTTAAATATTGTTTCCAGGACCCCAGCATCCAACTGAGTATGGGAAGAAAGGAGTCATCACATATCCGTAGTAGCCGTTGAAATATCTACCGTTGCAAACATCAACATCACAAGAATCCCAAACATTACCATCAATTCTGAACGGACTATAGATCATTCTACCATCTTTTGCTAATCCAACGGGATAAATTGACCTTAAGCTATCAGTGACATTTTATGAGATATACTTATACACATTCTTCTTGCAGTTTGGCTCCTTATCGCAAGTGAAGTTATATTCCTAAGCTGAACCACTATAAATGCAAGGTGACATTGAATGGTAATGATAGACACCATCACTGCTAGCATCTTCTGTTCCTCCAAGTTCTTAAATTCCAGTTGATGTTGCTAATGTTGTTCCTAAGCAAGCATCAAGATCAAGCCTTCCGATATATTCATTCTTTTTTTTCTTAGGATAAAGAACATCATAACCTGTCGCGTTTACACCTGATTTAAGCAATACTCCATTAATTGTGATTCCGACAGTTTCATTCAAGGAATAATCACCAAATACTTCAAGGTCAGCAAGAGTATTATTGATTTTATCGTTTAAATAAGTGGTTGCATTACAAACAACAGCATCTAGCTGTGCAGTTGTAGTAAGATTCTTAAATAGTCTATTCCTTGGGGCTTACCAATTATAGACAACTTCAAAGTCTATATCTACTTCATTAGGAGGCTGATCAGGTGAATAGCAGTGATTTGGTAATCCATTACTTTGGATTCTGATTTTAGCTGCATTTAAACCATAGGAGGCGCATGTTACACATAGTTTTCTTTCCCAAACGCAAGGAGTGTCCTCTGTTACTGTTGCACCAGTAAAAGGACATGTGGTACCTACGACACAAGATACTTCAGCGCCATCCATGCCAGAAAAAGGATCAGAGCCAGAGTCACGTACATAGTATGTAGATCTACCACAAGTGTTGTCAAATGTTGCAGCGAATTCTTCGCAAGAAGCTAATGTATTTCCGAAGAAAGATGCTGCTCCTTAAACTTTTTGAATTGGACATAAAATGTAACCTAGCACTATCATGCCAAGAATTCCGACTTATGAATTTTTTGGAATGAATTTCTTGAGTAATCTGGTTTGATTAGAAGTTTCGTGAATTCCAAATAGCTTATCTTTGCCAGAGTTATTCAATACGAGGGTTTCTGCCATAAGAATTAGAAATTATATTAATATTTATTTAACTAGTTTAACTATTATTTTCCATTTTATTTAAATTTCTCAACGCATGGGGTTTTGGGGTTTTGGGG